TTCAAATAAGGAAGAAGAAACTGACTGGACTGGTCCATCTCAGGGACACATAATCCCATTTAGAACCAGATGGTTTGCTTGGTTACACAAACACATAGTAGTAGGTTTGGGAATTTAAACTTCAAAAGCAGTAACTTCCTTCCCCCGCCGCCCCCCCCCCCGTCTTTTCTTTGTTCTCTAACCTACGTGAAAAGATAAATCATTTTTACAGGATTGACCCAACACTGAGGCTCAGTAAGCTGCAATGAATGTTTGAACTACAAAAAATACTACATAGTCTCAATTTTATGACACTTTTTTTTTTAACATTTAAAATTTTCCAATGTATTAATTGGTATTAAAAATCCATATTAAGAGCATCCATTGCCTGGGAGTAGAGTGGGGTGGTTCTCATTACCTCTGCCTTTGCAAGCTTAGAAATATATATAGAAATATCCTCATACATTCAACCATTTCATTCATCTAACAAATTCTTATTTATTGGGTGCCTGCTTGTGTCAGGCACACTCGGGGCACAGAGGATACAGAAACCAACAAGGACAAGCAGGAATCCTGCTCTCAAAGAGTTTCATAGTTGGAAAATAGATGATAAAAAACTAGACCAATAAATAACCAATTTTCATTTGTGATAAATGCTGAAAATAAGACAGAAAGAGGAATAGCAGGAGGTTTCTCTAATTCAATGACAGGAGAGCAGGAAGTTGAATGTGGAGTACTTGCAGAAAAACCTAAGGGTAAGGGCAGGGACCTGAGGCAAGCAGACCCAATCACTGAAAACAGGGAATAACTAGACTCACTCCCACTTAATAATTCGCATTTCTATCTGAACATAAAGTTACATTTAACTTAAATTCAGATTCCTGCTTGTTGAATAAAATGTCCTTTGAGAATGCATTATGATGCTGAATTGAAGCTATAAGAAGAGCAAGACACAGAACAAACGTGTATAGGAATATTCTAAGGGAAGGAAGTGCTCATTCTTAGAATAATTCCTCTTTCAGTGTTTCTAGTGAAGCAAGGACCACAGGTCTTTTTAGACCCCAGATAGAGAAAAAAGCCATTTAAATGTTTCCTGGAGATAATAAGCCAACCCTTTTGACTAAAGCTTAGACAGTGCAGATTAGTGAAAACAGTCTTTCCTAACACTCCCTGTACAAGAGTTATGAACCAGAATCAGTTCAGAAGAATCCAAAAGCCTTAGGATCAAATGTGGATGGGGACAGTGAAGAAGAAAGGAATGTAGTCACATCTGTAACTGTAATCTTTTGTCAGGAGTGAAAGAAGGAATGTGTATAGCTAGGCCACTTCCCCCACGCCTCATGCTGTTACTGAATTCACTGTGTCTTAGAACACTGGACTCAGAACCATAGAAAAACAGCCTGTCCTCGTCCAGCCTGTTAAGAATCTTGGAATTGCCACTATTAAACTGAGAAGTTCTAGCTTTAACAAGAGTATTTTCTTAAGAAACATAACATAAAAACCCACTATAGTCTGCTTGAAAAAATGAATATGTACTGTCTTATTAGCCTGACCCAGAAAACAGGTCCCTGAGAGAATGAGAACCCAAATCCCTTTTTTTATGGAGATAAGAGGGGGCAAAGGCAGGAGTGGCAGGGAAGCAGGATTGGGGGGGAACCCAAACTGGACTAAAGAGATTAAGGGATAGATGGAGAGAAAGGTACAGTCAAGGCAAATTACAATACCAGGAACTAATGGATTACAAATTATAACAAATACCAGGAACTAATGGATTTCAGCATACAGCTTATTGCTGAAATCAACCCCACAAACAGCAGGTTCCTAAGAATACCCATTTCAGGGCCTTTTGTCATAGTTCATATTTTGTCATTAATAGCAGCCTCCACAGAAACAGAAATGAAAGTAAGAACTGAATATTTATATTCATGATGTAAAATAAAATTACTTTGCCAAAAATTTCAGCCAAGTGTTGACAGTAAATTAAACTGGAGTTCACAGGAGTGTATTTTCTGACCAGTTTTGGATTTCAGCATTGCATGTTTTCAGGCAAAGTGGAACAAGAGGAGCTCACTTGGCATGAAACCAACAGCCTCCCTTCCAGTAGAGGGTCTTTGTTCCTGGCTCTAATGACTCACTGGGTTGCTTCAGTTGTCCCTCCACTACTGTGAGTCTTAGATTTCTTCATTCAATGCATATAATACCTGTAAAGGATCTGAGGTTCCTAGATAAGAAATGGCATTTATGAGATGATGAAATCTATGACATCATCATTATTTGAGTTCTCACTGTAGTTTTAATCCACAAAGAGCTTTTATTATTTTCTCAGAACTAGTCCTTGTAGTGGCTTTGTAAGTGCAAACATTACTCTTTAGTAATTTCAGAGCTCAGCCAAGGGTGATTAAAGTCTGAAGCAGGATTCAAAGCTACCATGTAATAACTAAACTGCCATAGTGTTTCAGAATGTTAAATATGTATCCACCTTTTCAAAAAAACACAATTCTAGGAAAAGGGAAGGGGCAATTGTGCAATGAACACAAAATGTTCAATTTTAACTTCTGCACTCTCCCCTTCTATTGTTTCCTTCTGATTCACCACCAAGAAACTTCTCTTTGGTCTTACCCATGTGTTGTACTAGAAAGGGAAAGGTAAGTGTACAGCCAGGGACTAGGGAAGGGCAAAGCTAAGGATGTCTCCTCACAGAGACCACCCTCACTCTGACTTAGGGCATGGGGTGCAGGCTGTGTGAGCATTCCTGAGCTCAGTGGTAGAATTAGAAGAAATGAAATAACAAAATTAAGGGCTACAGACCACTCCTGCATGTGACGGCTAGCTCACCTTATCACATATCCTGGGAGGCATGATGGTAAAGCAGTTATGTCAGAACACTTGGATGTGGCAGGTATGAAGAGGGCCTCATCACAAACCTAGCTTTTCAAACCAGGAAACAAAACATGAGCTGGAAAGGGGCCATAGAAGCTGCAGAGCAAGTTGAGGAACCAGAGAGAGACCAAAGAGAGCAGACAAATACTATTGACAAAGGAGCACTTGGGAGGTGGTCTGAGGGTTACCATCTTGTGCAAGATGCTCTTTTTCCATTCAGCTCTTCTATCATCTTGATGTGCCCAGGAAGTTTCCTGAGGGTGGAACCAGGGCCCATATTTGGCTAAGTGATTAGAGGGTGGGGATCAGCATACCAACAAGGCCCCTGAGACTTTATACCATGTTGGAGTTTTCCTGAGAGGAGTGTTCACACAGTTTTCTTACCAGTATAGTCTTTAGAGTGAGACAGATCCCGTTCCAATGGCAGCTTTGTTATTTACCAGCTGTGTAGACATTGGGCAAATGGCTTGTTTCCCATGTGTCATATAAAAGCATAGGTAAGCATATAGTAAGTCCTCAAGAAATAATGTCATTTTATACAACAGATTTGACCATCCATTGCTTGAGCACTGGCAGTTGAAAACATTTTCCCCATTTTTTTAATTGATGCATTATAAATGTACATAATAGTGGTATTCACTGTTATATATTCATACATGAATATAACAATATAACTTGGCTAACATCATCACCCAGATCATTTGTGAACAAGATAAGGACAAACACTAGCAGGTATGAAGTTGGAAAAAAAATCAGCCATCAGCTTAAAAAGGCTAGACCAGTTTTGGGACATCAATCACTGCTTTAAACTTCCCTTTGCCAAAAGAGTGACACCCTCCATTAAGACCCCAGCCCAGCCACAGCAGGTCCTTATGAGGGAGGAGAGCATGCTTTTCTAATTCAATACTTGCAATATATAGTTTTGACAACCTGACAAGCATGCTTAAGGGGTCAATGGCACCTAATAGGCACCTAATATTCCCATCTGGTTCTAGCTTAGGCATTCCAGGAGTTGGGCCTGGGGGGCACCTGGGCATAGAAGGCATCAAAGCAGTAAAAGCATCTTAATGCCTTCCCTCCACAGCTCATGCACCTCCACCACTTATGGGACTGACACCTACCTCCACATGACTCAGGGGTCCTCATGAAGCAAACAGCATGTGTGGTGTGGAGTATGGGGTGAGGGTATAACAAGTATTATTAGCTTTTGGTACCTGGGGATAAACTAACTATCTGGACATCTAAAATAGCCTAATAAAGCCCTGGGCAGACAAGACAAAGCCAGTAATGGCTGAAATAATTTTAAACTGAAATGTTTCACTGGGGTGCTCAATGGGGGAAATGGATTGAGTGTAGGATGGGAGTGAGAGTTGTTCTGATTTCTAGTTCTATCTAAGACTCCCCATCATTCCTGCGAACTCAAGGTTGCAGGACCACAGGGTCTGACGTCAGTCACCTCGGCCCTGCATCCCACCCAGTCCTAAGCCTGGGGTTGACAGGAACGATGAGCTTGGGGACCACGCTTATTTTTCTCGAAATCCCCTCTCGGGCCCTATCTAGGCTTCTCCCTTAACAACTCATCACGTGCACGGCGCAAACTTTTCAAACCCGTCCTCGGTCCTGCGGTCCCCTGCACCGGGTGGTTTTTAGGGTTTTCTTTCTTTCTTATTTCCCTCCTTCTTCGCCACGGTTGATTCTGCAGAAAAAGCTGCGAAAAAAGAACCCATTTGATTTCCAGTTCCCATCACCGCGATTTCCACATGGATGTGACGTTGAGGCCAGCTTCCGAAATGCCCAGGTGACTCACGCGGGGACACCCCGGGGCGGGGCGCAGGAGTTTCTCCCCGCGGCCGGCGGCCGACTGAGCGGGGCGAGGCGGGGCAGCCGGCCAGGCAGCTGGGTGGCTGCCTTCAGCGCCCCCTGCGCCCTCTGGTGGCCCAGGACGTGCCACGCGGGCTCCGGTGCCGGGCTGGGCATCACGTGACTGGAAAGTCCCTGGTGGAAATCCCCTGGTTGGCTGGTACAACAGCAGGCAAAGAGGAAACTGGGCAGTCTGCAGCCGTCGCGGCGGGCGGAGCACAACGAGTTCCGAGCCCGCGGGGGCGGAGCGACGAGAGCGGCCGCCGGAGACGTTCACACCCCCGGCCAAGGAGCGAGCCCGAGCCCGGGCGTCCATGGGGCGCTTCCTTGGCCTGAGCCTGACCGCGACCCCAGACTGCAGCTCGCGCCTGTCCTGACCTGAACCTGGGATTTTGCTGGAGGATCGCGCGGCCCGAAAAGGTAACCCGTCGCTTTCCTGCGCAGGGTGCAAGGGCTCACCGAGGGCGAGGGCTGCGGGTGTGTGCGGGGCGACAACTCTCGGGCTGGCGGTGTCTCTCTGGCATTGGTTTTGCAGAGGTCCTGGAGAGGAGTTAGTTCGCTGTTTGTGCCCATTTGGGTTTTCAAGTTCATGGAGTTGAGGTCGCCGAGTCAGATGTTGGGGTGACAGCCTGCTAGCTGTTTCTGTCTGACAATGCAGAAAACTTAAGTTGCAGCTGGCTATTGAAGCGTCTCCCCTCGGGCCCTTTGGTCTGGTGGTCGTTGGTGCTTTGCTACTTTGGGTATCTTTTTTGGAATCCAGCACTGCATGCTCATAGCCACGTAGACCTTGCAGAAGCAGTGTGGTTTCTTCGCAGATTGTGCAGAACCAGCCCAACCGGGATGAGTGTCTCAGGGGCAGCCAAATCCGGTGGGCGTGGGGAATATGCAGTCAGCTAACGTTCCCAGGGAAGCTTCCATATACTGAGAGCTCTGTGCAGGGGGTGGGTCAGGACACGGCTTTTATCTTTTCCAGTTGCAAGAGTGTATGAGAAGTTACTCGTAGAAGTGGGCTTGCATTTTGCGGGTTCACTTGAGGAGTAATGTGCAGATTCCCTGCTCCATCCCCAACCGCACACTTTGACAGTCTTTGTCAGTCCAGGGTCGTCCCACATCCTGCCACCTGGCCTCTCAGGAAAGCAGTGGTATTAAGTAAGAAAGGCGTTCAGCTCTTTTTAAGCCTGCTTTTTTTTTTTTTTTTCCTTCAGTTCTTTCCTTGGAAAGCCAGTCTGATCAAATGTCTCAGGGCAGCATTTTGGGAGAATCATTGTTAATTAAAAAGAGTCTTCTGTACCACGACTCTAGTAATGTCTCAGATGGGAGCCAGCTAATGCTCTATTCTCCTTGTCTAAGGTGCTTCTTGCATTTTTTTACAGTTCTTTGTACAATTTTTGGAGGGGTACTTCCCAACAGTTGAGTGAGGTGTTTGTTTACAAATAAACCATAAATTTCTACATTGCAGAAAAAAATGTCTGCCCAGAGTGGAAAAAATAAAACAAGGGGTGGAGGGGGGGACACTTTAATGAGTCAGTTCTGTAGAATTGTATTGATCCTAGTGATAAAAATTGGAAAATTCTTTTTAAGTAAGACAGTGAAGTAACAAGTGCTTTAAAAAAAAAAAAAGTTAAGGGTATACTGTTTTTCCTTCCCTACGGACATTACAGTCATGTGTTGGAAAAATTTATTCTTTATTATTAAGTGTGGAGAAGTCGAAGAACTGGAAACTTAGGCAGTGGGTTTTGATTTGTTTTCAGTAGGCAGTTTGTAGTCCATGCAAGGCTAAATCTATGAATGATATCATAATAGGCTATTGAATATATTGACACTTGTATAACTTCCATATAAGCAATTTAGATCTTTACTGAAAGATGTTTAGGCCCAGAAGAGAAGAATAGAAGTCAGAAAAGCAAAAAGGGGCAATACTAATTTGTTTAAAATCTTCCTACTGCTATTCTGCTTCCATCTTTAGAGTGGCAACCAGCATAGATGTGGGGGTATGGGAATAGGAAGGGACAGGTATTAGGAGATCTTCTAAGCAAAGCTCAGCTCCAGTGTGGCTGTGGGATCTGAGCTGGACCAGTACCTCCAGTGTTTTAGTTGTAGCCCAAGATGTTTGTATGATTTCAAGGAGGGGGATAAGTCAGCTCTGATTTTTAGCCCCAGTGCCAAGCATAGTGTTTGGCCAAATTAGGTGGTCAGGCAGTGCTTGTTTGGTAGATTCCATGGATGGATAGATGGATTAATGCTGTTATGAAAGAGCCTTGCTACACCACAGAGATTGTGTGTAGGGGGCGGAGGGTAGAGAGAGAGGTATTTTTGACTCATCATTGTGTCTGTAGCCCTGCTGTGCTTTTGCCCAATTCCACCTATGGGGAATATCTGACATCAAAGGAGGGATCATCATCTGACCAGAGAATGACTTCTTCCAGGCCTTACCTAGCTATTGGATTAGGAATCCCAATGCAAATCCTTAGAAGCAATCTCAAGGTCCTCTATGTCCAACCTCTCCCCTTCAAGTGGGTCACAGGAATTTAGACCACTTTATCAGCTGCTTAAGAGAGCCTAGATCCACCCAGGAGAGGTTTCCTGAAGCTCTAGATTTCTTCTCCTTCATCTTACATAGGTTTAACATCTTTCCTACCTGGAGGGTTTCCCTGGCAGCTAGCATGATGCAGGAGTGGGATTAACCATTGCTGTGAAACTTCCTAGGGAATCTCTTCATGCTCTGAAGTCATCTTTGTCTTCTTGGAAATTAGGAAGTGTGATCAAGCACCACTCTAAGGGTAGTGAAGCAGAACTGGCTCTCCACACTGCTCTACATTGAGAAGTTCCCACTGTGCCCAACATTCCACACTGTTGGCATGGGCGACAGATGCTGCACTTTGCCCCACACCTTTTATTTGTCCTGCATGGCTCCCTAGCTGAAACTTCTTTCTGGTCTGCTTCTAGATTTTCATTTTCTCCACCTGTTGATTATGCTTGATGATTTCTAGGTGAAGGGCAGGATGTTAATTCTTGGGAATGCTGGTTCCTAGAGGACAATGATAAAATTTGGTTGGCAGATAAGTTGAAATAATTGAGCTCTGATGTCTGTTCTTGGAAGTGAACAGTTATTCACAATTTATTCATTGTGTTATTACTCCTTCTTCTTTTCATGTTGTAAAGTTTGGCAGGGGTCTGAAGGACTGCTGCCCATTTTGCTGCTCTTCCCACCCTCCATACTTGGGATTGAATTTAGGAATGCTCTATGACTGAGCCACATCCTCAGCCCTTCTTATTTTGTGACAGGGTCTTGCTAAATTGCTGAGGCTGGCCTCAAACTTGCAATCTTCCTGCCTTGGTCTTCTGAGTAGCTGGGATTACTGGTGTGTGCCACCAAGTCTGGCTTGTTTTGCTCTTAACATTGCAGAGTATCTTGCTGGAATAGGTTTCTTTGTTGATTATGAAGCAATGCAGTTTTGACTCTTTATAAACATTATAATAAACTGTATGAATAAACTTCATATTTTTCTTTGGGGCTAAAGAAGAAACACAGCATCAGCCTAGATGACAGCCTAAAATTGTAGGATCTTCCATAAAAGATTTACTGTGGAGGGAGTGCAGCAAGGACAGGGATTGAATGGTGGTGTTCTTACTGGAGACGCTAGACTACTCAGGGCTGCTGTGCCCTTAACTGGCTTCAGTGCTTCTAAAATCCAGCAGCTGTTGTGCAGTGGTGGTGTCAGAATGCATTGGGCACATAAGTGGGTTTTGTGTAGCAGTACCTGTACCTATTGCTGACAGACAGGCTTGGCTCCCTGACAGATGTTACTGAAAACACGGGTTATTCCCCTCCTCCTCAGTACCCACTCTCCGCCTTCCTTCTCTTGTTTAGACTAATCTTTTAAAGTGATGTAACTTAAAACAGTCCAGTGTGAGTTAATCTCTGGGGCCAGCTAGTATCCTGGGAGTAGAGGTGACTAAGATCTTTTGCCTACAGATTAGGGTAATGACAAGATCAAACACCGGGGTTTCCTGCAGGCAGGTACATAGGAGTGCAAAGGCTGCCTAACGGAATGATTTTTCCCTCCTCTTCAGGCCTTGCAGAGCACAATGGCTGAGCAGCTTCTTCCTCAGGCTTTGTATTTGAGCAATATGCGGAAAGCTGTGAAGATAAGAGAGCGAACACCAGAAGACATTTTTAAACCTACCAATGGGATCATTCATCATTTTAAATCCATGCACCGATACACGCTGGAAATGTTCAGAACTTGCCAGTTTTGTCCCCAATTCCGGGAAATCATCCACAAAGCTCTCATTGATAAAAGCATCCAGGCTTCCCTGGAAAGCCAGAAGAAGCTCAACTGGTGTCGTGAAGTGAGGAAGCTCGTGGCACTGAAAACCAATGGTGAGATTGCCCTGTAGTGCTTCTGCTGCCTGGGGAGGGCTTCCCTGGTGCCGGGTCCTTGTTCATGAAATTTTAATGGCACTAACTATAGCCATCTTCGTATAAAAAGTCTATGAGGGGCGTGTGACAGGAGCAGGCTTATTTGATGACTATTTTTATCATAGTATGTCCGAAGTGTATATATTAGACTGCAGAGGGCATTGAGGCCCCAGGAATGCATTTCTAAACACCAGGCCCCAAAGAGGTGGTTAGTGTTTCTGATTCTTAACAACTGTTGAATCATCTGTACAATATCCTTTCCTGGCCAATAGTGGAAATACTTAAAAAGGTATTTTAAGTTGGAAAGGTATGGTGTGAAAACTGCTTTTACTGTCGTTCCCGATTGTTATTGTGATGTCCTTACACTTCTTGTGTTGGTGGCATTTTATGTGTTAACCAGTTGAGGACATTTTCCTTTTCCTTTACCTGGGTTCTGTTGCCTGTGATTATACCACGATGCTGCTAATAGTTATTTTCTATTCCAAGCTTTACTATTTTATTTTTTAATCATTTCCTTTGAGCAAGAATGTGGACATCAACAGAAACATCCAAGCATACTATTTTATGCAGATGCAAAATTCTGCTTGTTGGATATAGATATTTATTATAATAAGCAAATAGACTATACAAGATCAACTAAATACTTACAGTCTAGTTAAGAGCAATAATCTTAGATCCTAATATCAGTGACTAAACTACCCCAATCAAAATAATACATCCAAGAGCAGAAAATCCTTGTTGGCACTAATGATGAGAACATTAACTTAATTAACTTAATTGGTATATTAACTTTGAGTATTTTGGACTTGAGTGACTCAGAGAAATTGGGAGGTGTGGGGATTTGTTTGTTTTGATTCTGGGGGCTCTCATTTATCACCTCAGTATCTTATAGCTTCACCTGTATTCATGAAGCTTGGATTCTTAGAAGCTCAGGTCAGAAGGAAACTAGAGATAGGAATTGTCTATGTTGTTATTGGCATTAAATCAAATGGTGCATACAAGTGGGTAATTATGTGAAGGTGTTGTCAAGGGGCTTATAATACCTGATGGTTTGTGGTTTTAACTCTGTCCCATTTTGTTAGAAGAAAGAGATGGAGTTAACTTTGGGCAAATTTGAAATGGGGCCAAAGGGAAAAACTTTATTATCATTAACAGAATTAACATGGTATATACTATTTCCTTAAGAAATGCTTTATTCCTTAAGGAAAAAAAGGAATAGAAATACTAAACACTTATTTTGCAATCCTATGTCAACAAGGATTCAGACTACAAATAAAACTACAAGAGCAAGTGTATTTGGATAACATTGTCTGGGAAATGGATTTTTAGGCTCAGAATTCTTATTTCTCCACTTTGAAGAAAATTTCTTAAATTGCCGAAAAAGGAAGAAAAGCTATTGGGGAAGGGGACAGACAAATGGATTTTCTCCCATGATTTCTATTAGCACCTTTCTTTCTTTTCTTTCTTTTTTTTTTTTTTTTTTTTGTGTGTGTGTGTGTGTGTTTTGTTTTTTGTTTTTTTATCCTTCCCCCTATAGGAGGTTTTCTTCAAAGGCAGTGGTCTGTTTGGGGAGGGGGTGATTCACAAGTTTGCATTTGAGGATATGAGACTGTGGTGAATGAGGAAGGGAGTAGGTGGCATAAAATTGAAACTTCGTGTGAAAAATTCCAGCGTCTATTGGCTGCGGCGATTTCACTTGTATAATGAGTAGCCCTATTCCAGCTCACCCTGACCACACCCACTTGGAAAGTCCAGGGTGCAGTTCGCAGTTTAAATGTCTACACACCAGAACAAAACGTACAATAGCTGTTGCTCAATTGCTAGTCAAATAACTTAGCACTGGGGAATTCCAGATGTTGCTTAGGGAATTTTATACTGGTGCATCTCAATAAAGAACTGAAAGTAAGCACAAGAAGAAGAAAAAAAGCCTTATCTTTGCTCTAGATTTTGCAAAGGGGAAATTTCAACAGAACGCAATCATTGCCACACTTCTGCCAAGACACAGGGCTTGAGTGATCTGTTGTTCATTGGTGATCATGCTTACTTAGCTAGTTTTCTAAGTGTATAAATTGAAGGAAAACTGGCTGTGGATATGTATTTGAGATTTTTGTTTTGTTTGTTTTTTTTACAGTTCGACTGTAATTAAACTTTGATAAATTTCAGATAGCTTTATTGCGTTACTTAGAGAATAATTTAAGAAAATAGTTTAACTTTAAAAAAAAAAAAAAACCTATCTTGCACTTGCCAAAGGAGATTAAGAATTTTTTTTTTTTTTTCTGAATTAAACATTCTCCCAAAATGTTCATTGTTTGGGAGTTGGAAAATAGTGCAGTCTCTTGAGTCATGAGTTTTAACATGGAGAAGTCATAACTTAATGGAAGAAAATTAGACCTATTTTTTTTTCTCAAAATGCAAACCCCAAACACTGAGTTATTAAAAAAAAAAAAAAAAAAAAAAAAAAGGTCCCTTAATGCACTCAGGGAACCTGGGGCTGCAGGCTGTGGGTAATTTGGTGTTGTCAATTCCACTGAACAAACCAGGAGAGGAAACTCCAGGTCCCAAAAGCTCCAGCGGAATTGGTCAAGGCATTTACCACTGAGTCATAGCCAGACCTTCCCTGTGTAGTGAGCCCAGCAGAGCCTGCTTCCTGGTTGTGCTTGTTGCCCTTTAGAGAACAGTAGTGACAGTGCCTTAGCCAGCAAACCCAGGACTATTAGAGATAGACTGTAGTGATCATAATTCAGTGTTCTCATTTCTAAAAGAGGGAAAGTACCTGGAGACCTTAAGGAATTTCCTCAAGGTCACCTTATCCAGGTAGAAGGAGAGCCACACTGGAACCAAGGTCCTCTGGCCCATTTGCCTTGTTGGTGCTACTCATTATAAGGAAGAATGAAGAGAATTACTTTTTCCCTATAGCTGTTGAACATCATCAGTTGGCCCTTGACTAAGAAATCAAACCATTCAGCCCACTATGGGAGCAGTCTGCCTAGTTCATTCTGAAAACCTGTGCAGTGCCTTAAGTGCAGATGATTTAACCTTGCTTCTCATGACTCCCTTCTGTCCTCAGGTGATGGAAATTGCCTCATGCATGCTGCTTGTCAGTATATGTGGGGTGTCCAGGACACAGACCTGGTCCTGAGGAAGGCACTCTTCAGCACTCTCAAGGAGACAGACACACGCAACTTTAAATTCCGCTGGCAGCTGGAATCTCTGAAATCTCAGGAATTCGTGGAAACGGGACTTTGCTATGACACTAGGGTATGTTCTGTTCCTCTATGAAGCATCTATTGACAGCTCCATGGTGGGTAAAGAGTTCTCTGGGCTAGTCCCTGTGCCAGAGTAGCAAATGACTTACTAGGCCACATGAATTTGGGTAAGCAAAGCATACTCAGTGGAAAACACCAGAAACCTCCTGTGGGATTAACCCAAGGATCATGACTCTGTTCCGAGGCTTTGAGGTGCAGATTCCCAGCAGTGTTTTAGGAGGTCTTCCAGTCATGGCCTTCCTGTTGTTTTTCAGTAGTGCCCTTCACATGCACTACTGAGCCAGCCAAATAAAAGCAGACTCATCACTTTACCATTCTTGGTCACAAGTTTGGAATTTTTGTGTACATTTGGATGAGGGGCTTCAATGTTATGCCTCACCAGGGATTTTTTTTGAAAGCAGGTGCTGTCCCTTGCTTCCCTTGGTTTTGAGTTTGCTCTGTAGTGGAAAACAGTAAAGGAAGAAAACCAAAATGGGGGGTGGGGATGATCATTTGAATGGTGATTTTAAGAAAGGGGAAAATATAAGATGAGTTATATAAATGAATAATTGTAGAGTAATACCAGAATGACTGTTTAGTGCAGAGTACATTCAATTGTGCCTTTGTTTTGTTTTGTTTCTCCTGACCCCTCTCCCCCTTAGAACTGGAATGATGAATGGGACAACCTTATCAAAATGGCATCCACAGACACCCCAGCAGCCCGAAGTGGACTTCAGTATAATTCACTGGAAGAAATTCATATATTTGTCCTTTGCAACATCCTCAGAAGGCCCATCATTGTCATTTCAGGTGAGATGCCTGCAGATCATTTATTTGTATTTAAGTGCTTTTCAGCATTAATGCTTTGATTCCTAGGAAATACCCACATTCCCAAAGTTACTTCAAGTAACAGTAGCCAAATGGAATTTGATGAAAGTCACCTGAGGGCCTTGTTTTTCTTTCTCTTTCCTTAAACAGATAAAATGCTGAGAAGTTTGGAATCAGGTTCCAATTTCGCCCCTTTGAAAGTGGGTGGAATTTACTTGCCTCTCCACTGGCCTGCACAGGAATGCTACAGATACCCCATTGTTCTTGGTTATGACAGCCAGCACTTTGTACCCCTGGTGACTCTGAAGGACAGTGGGCCTGGTGAGCAAAACATCATCCATTCACATTCATAACTTTTGCTAGGTATTAGAACATCAGGCTTTGCTCTTTTGCTCCTAATTGAAATAGTCTAATTTAAGTATACTATTTTTATTTCACTACATTATTCTGTCATTTGCTTAGCTAGTATAGGTTGAGCATCTCTTATCTGAAATTCTTGGAACCAGAAGCATTTCAGATTTTAGAGTCTTTCAGATTTTTTAAATATTTGCATGGACTTTACCAGTTGAGCATCCCTAATCCAAAATCCAAAGTGCTCCTCCAAAGTTCACTTCAAAGTTTCAGATTGGGGAACATTTCAGATTTTGAATTTTTATATTAGAATTACATGACCTACAATAGTAATACAGTAGAGTAATCATAATACTCCTATATCTTTTTGTGTATGATACTTTTAGCACTTTAATCACAAGTAGGTTAAATACACACACACATATCCTTACGACCATCACTCTTGATACCTACAGATGAAGGTACACAGTGTCCTCAATATAATGCCTGGCATGGAGCAGGTGAATAAATATCTGTGAGGTTAGCTGTTAGGATAGTCATATAATGTGTAATAGGCACTGTGCTGAGTGCTTTGAGTACATTATATCTTTCCATTTCATCATTATGGCATCTTTGTGAGATGCAGGAATAGGTAGCTTTATTTTATAGATGAGGCAGTTAGAACTCAGAGGGATTATAAATAACCTGCCTAGTGTCACATAGCTTGATAGTGACAAAGTCACTCTTCAAATTCAGGTCAGTCTGATTCTGCGGGCTGGCTAATATTGTGTGAGCTCCCTGGAACATAATCCTTACGTTAGCGTTTAGTGTACTTTGTTTTCCCATTTGGGCTTAACTATGCCTAGATGATACTTTTCTCCTCTTTAAATTGTATGCTTTCTGCATTTTCACAGTTTAATCATTCTATACATACGACCTTACATGCAACCTCTTTTAGTCGAATAATATTTTACTCATGTGCTGTTTTGTGTTTTTTTCCCCTTTTAGAAATCCGAGCTGTACCACTTGTCAACAGAGACCGAGGAAGATTTGAAGACTTAAAAATTCACTTTCTGACAGATCCTGAAAATGAGATGAAGGACAAGCTCTTAAAAGAGTACTTGATGGTGATAGAAATCCCGGTCCAAGGCTGGGACCACGGCACCACTCATCTGATTAATGCTGCAAAGTAAGCTGTTTATATTTAGCACCTTCTTTGTCATCTGTGACTGCCTTTACTTTAGCCACATAAGCTGCTGCCACTCCAAAGCTCAACCATAAAGTTTTTGAGAACTTGAAATGTATGAGATGGGGGCTGGAGGCAGAGCTCAGTGCCAGAACACTTGCCCAGCATGCTCAACACCAGGCCCTGGGTTCCATCCCCAGCACCACAAAAATAAACAACAAAAGAAAACAAGAAAATGATGCTTGCACATTACAAGAATCTGTTTCTCAAAGTGGAGATTAACCAGTTAGTAAACAGAAGTAAACAGATAGTGCCTATGGGCATGCTCACCTCTTAGTTACTCATGGCAGGGAACTTCAATAGAGATCAGACAAGAGTTTGAAATCAATAACAGCAAAATACAGAATGCAGAGTTCCAAAGTTGTTTGTACGGTAGAGTAGACCAGCCCAAATGAATAGCCTGAGTAATATTTCACTTAACATTTGATCTCTGAGAGGTTAAAAAGTAAAACTGATGTTTTAAAGGAACCCTGGAGTAGCAAGATGTAGAGTTGGCTCTTTCTTTAGCATTACCTGTAATTCGGGGTACACAAAGATAGATTAAATGAAGCTGTGAACTGTTAGAAATAATGAAGTCTTCTTAGCTGACTAACTGGCCTCGTCTTTCACTCGAACGTATATAGGAAATGTGTTGGATGGAGTTATGTCATCAGTGCATTGCAGTGATTTTGGTGAATGGCCATAAAGTTGTTACCATGATCCACATTCTGAAACTGCCCAGGGCATGGTAATGAGGTAAAAGTCTTGGGTGTCATTTTGTTATCTCACGTTTTCCATTTGGGCTTCAGGTTGGATGAAGCTAACTTACCAAAGGAGATCAACCTGGTAGATGATTACTTTGAACTTGTTCAGCATGAGTACAAGAAGTGGCAGGAGAACAACGAGCAGGGGAGGAGAGGGGCACGCGCGCAGAACCCTGTGGAACCTTCTACACCCCAGCTTTCTCTCATGGATGTAAAATGTGAAACGCCCAACTGCCCTTTCTTCATGTCTGTGAACACGCAGCCTTTCTGCCATGAGTGCTCAGAGAGACGGCAGAAGAGCCAAAACAAACTGCCAAAACTGAACTTCAAGCCAGGCCCAGATGGGTTGCCCGGGGTGGCACTTGGAGCCTCTCGGGGAGAGGCCTACGAGCCCTCAGCCTGGAACCCCGAGGAGCCAGCTGGAGGGCCTCATTCAGCCCCACCAACAGCGCCCAGCCTTTTCCTGTTCAGCGAGACCACCGCCATGAAGTGCAGGAGTCCCGGCTGCCCTTTCACACTGAACGTGCAGCACAATGGATTTTGTGAGCGTTGTCACAGTGCCCGGCAGATCAATGCCAACCACACCACAGACACCACCAGGCATTTAGATCCTGGTAAGTGCCGAGCCTGCCTCCAGGACGTTACCAGGACATTTAATGGGATCTGCAGTACTTGCTTCAAAAGGACTACAGCAGAGCCCTCCTCCAGCTTAGGTTCCAGCCTCCCTCCTTCCTGTCACCAGCGGTCCAAGTCAGACCCCTCACAGCTCATCCAGAGTCTTTCCCCGCACAGTTGCCACAGAGCTGGAAGCGATGCCCCCTCTGGCTGCCTCTCCCAAGCCTCACGGACTCCAGGGGACAGGACCGGGACTAGCAAGTGCAGAAAAGCTGGCTGTGTGTATTTTGGAACTCCAGAAAACAAGGGATTTTGCACGCTGTGTTTCATCGAGTACAGGGAAAACAAACGTGAGTGAAATGATAGATTTTCCTAAGGCAGCAGCTGCTGCCTGGAAGGGGTTTTGTTCTTGAACTTCAAGAAAGGAAAGTATGTCTGAGTGCACGGGTGGAATGGGCAGAGCCCACTGCTTTTCCAGCAGCTTGCCCTTGGTGACACTCATGGTGCCTCTGCCAAGCGCACAGGGAAGCCACAGGCACTGTGAGACAAGCAGCTCTTAGCTGCCCCCTGCCAGAAATCCAAAGTACCCCCATTGATAGTTGATGGAATTGTGTTTTCATAAGGCCATTTGGTGCCTGGCATTTATAAGATAGAGTTTAAGCTAGACTTTTTCAAATGTGAGAAACTCAAAATCTGAAAACCTAGAGAGAGGGCAATCGCCACTGATACTGTAGGAGAACATGTGTGGTTTGGAATTCTCTAATTCGAGAGAAGAGGGGCGGTTCGTGTCTGCTGTTTATTCTGTTATTGTGACTGATCACTGTTCCAATAGCAATCCGTAAAGCCAAAGATGTTTAGTGATGATTTTATTATTTTGCTAAGTTTATAAATGTCTAGTCTCAAGTATATTGAAGGCTATCCTAATCTTTACTTAGAATCCATTTCCTTCTGTAACATCAGTGTCTGTGTCTGCCTAGTGACCCAGATATGGTACTGAGTAGCATCGACTCTCTTGTAGATTTTGGCGCTGCCTCAGGGAAAGCCAGTCCCACAGCCTCCCGGTTCCAGAACGCTGTTCCGTGCCTAGGGAGGGAGTGCGGCACCCTTGGAAGCACCATGTTTGAAGGATACTGTCAGAAGTGCTTCATTGAAGCTCAGAACCAGAGATTTCATGAAGCAAAAAGGACTGACCAGCAACTGGTGAGACATTTTAAGGAGCATGTGCATGTCGGGTCCCCTTAGCTGGAACAGTTTCTCCCAGCTATGTGACAAGCAGGCTCTCCTCCCTGCCAGTTCTGTCTTCCCATGACAAAGGATTGCTTAAGAAAGTCTGTTGAAAGAACCTGGGGAAAATGTCGACATCACCAGGTTGGAAGGACTGTTGTCCGTCTGCATGAACCAAGTTAGAATTTGTTTTTGAAAAGCCAATAAAATTAGCCATAAAATAAAAATGCTTCCAGCATCCAGAAAGCCAGATGGGCATCAGAATCTTGATTGATTTGTAGCAGAAGCACAGACATCTAAAAAGCAGACTTCTTAAATAATCCTTTATCATGAGCCAGAAAGAAGGCAGAGCCTCACAGGTACTCCACTTAAAAGCATATCAGAAAAGCAAATGGTGACAGATGTGTTGCCTGTTGTGTGCTCAAGGGCTGAGGAGCTATCCAAGTATGGGTGCCCATGGTGATTCCCGGGGAAGCACTCCTGGCCAGTTTACAGTCCTTTCAGGATCAGTAGCTCCCCATGCCCTCCCTGGGGCCAGGTCAGCTGCCTTGGGATTTGGAGGAAATATCCCACCGCCATGTGCCTGTGTCCCTTGTTCTCAGGCAGAATGAGCCCAAATGACAGCTTACTGTGTTCTTCCAGAGAAATGAGAGCAACAGTTCTCTCTGTTCTTCCCACACAGAGATCGAGCCAGCGCAGAGATGTGCCTCGAACCACACAGGGCACCTCAAGGCCCAAGTGTGCGCGAGCCTCCTGCAAGAACATCCTGGCCTGCCGCAGTGAAGAGCTCTGTATGGAGTGCCAGCACCTCAGCCAGCGGGTGGGCCCTGGGACCCACCGGGGTGAACCTACTCCTGAAGAGCCCCCCAAACAGCGCTGCCGGGCCCCTGCCTGCGATCACTTTGGCAACACCAAGTGCAACGGCTACTGCAATGAATGCTTTCAGTTCAAGCAGATGTATGGCTAAGCAGAAACATGTGGCCAGCCCCGCCAAGAGGGGCCGCAGGCCACCAGCCAGAGTGGTGCTATGCTCCAAACCCCTGGATGCCATGGAAGGGGCAGGCCCTGAGACAGTGGCCTTGAGGGTGTCTTCAAGCAAGGGAGGGAAGATAAGCTCTTCGTCATGCCTGTGATTCAGGGGTTTGGAAACCAGGAATATTCCCAAGCAGCCTCAGAGCAAAGCTTGTGACTAGCAGTGTGTGCTGTCAGATTCAGCCCCAGGCTGTCGTTGCTCCTCTCCTGCCAAGCAGAGGGCTGGGACAACTCTGGACTTGGAATGTGTGCTAGGACTAGCAGTAGCCCCTACCCTCCACCCGCCAGGACTGCTTCATCATCTTGCAAAAACAGAAAAAGACACATGGACAGATGGTCAGGAGGCCCAGAGCCATCCCACCTGCCCTCCATCAGCATTTTTCAGAGTTGTGAAGTTGAATCCTCAAGGCACAAAAAGCCCTCTGCAAGTGCTTGCAAAAGCTCAGGGAGAATTCATGTATTCAGAAAGTATCAGTAGTTCATGGTTGTCCCCACCTACCTGGCACCTTTCTATCTTTTTTTTTCTTTGTATTTTAGAGTCTTTTTAAAAATGTGTTCTTTTTATACATACATGACAGTAGAGTGTATTTTGACATACATACATGGCATATAACTTCCCATTTTTGTGGTTGTACATGATGTGGAGTTATACTGGTCATGTGTATTCATAGATGAACATAGGAAAGTTATGTCCAGTTCATTCTACTGTCTTTCCCATTCCCATTTCCCCTCCCTTCCTTTCATTCCCCTTTGTCTTATCTAATGAACTTCTATTTCTCTCTCCCTGACCCGTATTAGTATCTGCATATCAGAGAGAACATTCATCATTTGGTGTTTGGGGATTGGCTTATTTCACTTAACATGACAGTGTCCATTTCTATCCTTTTACTGACAAATGCCATATTTCATTCTTCTTTATGGCTGAGTAATATTTCATTGTGTATATATGCCACATTTTCTTTATCCATTCATTTGTTGAAGGGCACCTAAGTGGTTCCATAGCTAAGCTATTGTGAATTGAGCTGCTATGAACATTGATGTGGTTGTGTCACTATCTTGTGCTGATTTTAAGTCCTTTGGGTATATACTGAAGAGTGGATAACTGGGTCAAATGGTGGTTCCATTCTGAGTTTTCTGAGGACTCTCCGTACTGCTTTCCAGAGTGGCTACACCAATTTGCAGTCCCACCAGCAATGTACGAGGGTGCCTTTTTTCCCCACATCTTGGAGATAATGCTCTGTCTAATGTGCAGGTGGCAAAGATTTTCTCCCATTCTGTAGGCTCTCTCTTCGTGTTCTTTTTTCCTTTGCTATGAAGAAGCCTTTTAGTTTGAAAGCATCCGGTTTTTTGATTCACAATTTTACTTCTTGTGCTTTAGGGGTCTTGTTGAGGAAGTTGGTTCCTAAGCCAACATGATGGAGAGTTGGGCCTACAGTTTCTTCTAGTGGTCACAGTGTCTCTGGTCTAATGCCTAGGTCCTTGATCCACTTTGAGTTGGGTTTTGTGCATTGTGAGAAATAGAGGTTTAATTTCATTTTGCTGCATATGAATTTCCAGTTTTCCCAACACCAATTGTTGAAGAGGCTATCATTTCTTTGTATGTTTATGGCACCTTTGTCTAGCATGAGATAACTGTACTTATTATGTACATTTGTCTCTGTGTCTTCTATTCTGTACCACTGGTCTTCATGTCTGTTTTGGTGCCAATACCATGCCATTTTTGTGACTATTGCTCTGTAGCATAATTTAAGGTTTGTTATTGTGATGCCTCCTGTTTCACTTTTCTTACTAAGGATTGCTTTGGCTATTCCGGGCCTCTTATTTTTCCAAATAAATTTCATGACTGCTTTTTCTATGAAGAATGTCTTTGGAATTTTAATAGGAATTGCATTAAATCTGTTTAATGCTTTTGGTAGTATGGTCATTTTGACAATATTAATTCTGCCTGTCCAAAGACATGGGAGATCTTCCCATCTTCTAAGGTCTTCTTTGATTTCTTTCTGTAGTGTTCTGTCATTTTCATTGTAGACGTCTTTTACCACTTTGTTAGATTGATTCCCAAATATTTTCTTAATGAAGCCATTGTGAATGGAATAGTTTTCTTAATTTCTCTTTCAGTTGATTCATCATTGGCATATAGGAATGCAATTGATTTATGAGTATTAATTTTATATCCTGCTACTTTATGTCTAGCTCCTTTCTGGAAAAAAAAAAAAAAACAGAATCAAGCACAGACTGTGATTCAGAGGCTGCTGATACTGAACATGTTCACGTTGAAAATGAGCTGCTCTCTATAGTAAGCACCTCTTAGAAATCAATATTTTAGTGGGAAGACAGATAACTCTGGCTTATCATTGTCTACCCCTCTAAAAAGGTTTGCTTGAACTGAGGTGCATGTAAAAGTGTGAACAGATATAATATACCCTTATATTGTGTATGAGGAATTGTTAATGTTGAAATATTACCCAGAGATTTAAGTTGAAAGACTATAATAATAACCTATTTTTTGGTTGTTGCTGGGTCACAACCTGTATATACAGCTTATTTCATGAACCCAATAGTCATATTCATGTAATTCACTTTATTTATTTTATTACAGAAACCAATGACATGTTTCTCCTCCTTTGGGGAAAATGCTGCATTGCTTTAAGTCTTGTTCTAGAACCTGGCAAGCTCCAGACTGCAGTGGAGGAGGTGATCTCTTTGATACCCTTTGCTTATTGCCTCCCTGGGAAAGAAGGAATTGCTTCAAGAGTGAATCCAGTAAACTCTCATGCTTTTTCCTATGAAACTCCAGCTGCAGGATAAGAAACTGCTGTCTGTGTTGTGTAAATGCCTCTGAGAATTCTACCTCCTTGGAGAGAAGATGGAGAAGGAGTGGGGACAAGATAAGTTTTTTTTGTTGTTGTGTTCATGCTGTGTGGAGGGTGCTGGGCAGAGACCCTGACACCCCAGCCCTGGGACAGAAAAAAAATTAGCAATTGTAAGGAAATTTCTTTCTGCCCTTGGCCTACATCTTCCCTGTGTGCTTTGTGTTATTGTCGTGCTTGCTTTAGGAAAAAAGGAGGAAAATGCATTTTCCCAGAAATAAAAGTCGGCCATTTTAGAGGTCTGAACTTAGCACCTGAATATATTGTGACCCATGAGTACGTAGTCTTCTCTTGTATTCTGACATGTCTTTTTCCCCCAACATAAATCTTTCTGATTTTTTTTCCAAAGATGTCAACTAAACTTCAGTGTTTTCATATAATCCTTTCAAAGTTGATAGCTTAATATTTTGTGTCTATCAATGTTTTCATTCTTAATGTGAAATAAAATTATTTATACTTATTATAGAAAGTGTTTGAAATTTGCACATTTGGTTTTATCTTATATAATTCTGTGTATCTTTGTTGGATTCTGCAAGTTTTCCTAAGTAAACGTAACTTTTCCCAAGAGTAAATATTAAAAAATAAATTATTTAAGAACAAAATTTGATGTTTTTCTGTTGATGAATGCTGAAAGAAAAAAAAACCAGACTCAAACATGAAGACTGCTTTCCACATAACTAACCCCTTTGCTGTACACTTGGGCAACGAACGGGTCCACCTCTTACACGTGGAGAGGAAGGGAGCTTTTTTTTTTTTTTTTTTAATTTTTTTATTGTTGGTTGTTCAAAACATTACATAGTTCTTGATATATCATATTTCACACTTTGATTCAAGTGGGTTATGAACTCCCATTTTTACCCCATATACAAATTGCAGAATCACATCAGTTACACATCCATTGATTTACATATTGCCATACTAGTGTCTGTTGTATTCTGCTGCCTTTCCTATCCTCTACTATGCCCCCTCCCCTCCCCTCCCCTCTCCTCCCCTCTTCTCTCTCTACCCCCTCTACTGTCATTCATTTTTCCCCCTTGTATTATTTTCCCCTTTCCCCTCACTTCCCCTTGTATGAAATTTTGTATAACCCTGAGGGTCTCCTTCCATTTCCATGCAATTTCTCTCCCTTCTCTCTCGAAGGGAGCTTTTAAAAATTATCACTGTATGCGAGTAGGCCCGTCTACTCAAGCAGAGCACTTGGGTTAAACAGTGAGGACACAGAAGCCCATAGGAGAGGGAAAGGTTAGCCTGGGCCTGTTAGGATGAGCTTTTGAGGTCTCTATTTTCTTTTGGAGGTCCTAAGAGGGGAAAAAGAAATAGGGAAGAAAGAAATCAGCTGGGAAGAAGGAAGACTGGTCTAAGATTTCCTGGTCAGACACATAAGAAGAAGGGTTCTGGCTGTGGTGGCCATCAGAACTGGGAGATAATGAATTTACACCGCAACAGTCAACAGATCTCTGATCCCAAAATGCAAGAGAACAACTAATTCTGTAACAGACACTAGCATTAGTGTCCTCCAGTTTAGTTCTGACACTACCTGAAGACCACATCAGATCCCACAGGTTGAGGGCTCAGACCCCAAGACTGCCCCCACCGCATACACACCTTAAATGCCAACTACAAGACCCAGAGTGTTTTTACCTATCCAATAGGCTGTAAATCAGGGTTTCCACACTCCCCTCCTCAGGATCAATGAATTTGCTTTTAGTGGCTCACAGAACTCGGGGAAACATGTTCACAAGTTTATTACAAAGGATGTTACAAAGAACACAAGTGAAAAAAAAATGCATGTGGCTAGGTATGAGAGAAGGGGCAGGGGGCTTCTAGGCCTTCTTTGGGTGCTCCACTCTTCAGGAATTCCCTGTATCTAGATGTCTAGATGTCTTGGAACCCTGTCCTTTGGGGGTTTTGGGGAAATGTCACTGCACAGGCATGATTGAAGGATGAACAACTGTGCAGAAATGTGATTAGACAAAAGGGTATGTTCTCATGCTAATGGACTGGGTGGGGAGACCCGGCAAGGCCTGTCGGTGTGGATTGCCTCGGCCTCTCTGTGCAACATTCCTTTCTTGCAGGCATGGGCAGGACCCTTCTGAAATGGGAGTGTTAAGATCTGTCAGACAAGGTAGGTCAGAGAATTTCTTTATGTCCAACTCCAAAACAGAAAGGTGAGAAAAGATTAGAGTACATTTTCAGTTTTATGAGCCACCTTTGGGAAGTGAAATTCTAATTTCTTTAGCTTGATTTGGGGAGGGAGTTACGAGCCAGGAGCCATGGACAATGTATGAATTTATATATCATCTATACAAAAACATTCTTCCATCCACAAGCCTCCATCTCCTCCTCTATCCATGATGTACCCATGGGAGATTGATTTAAGAGTTCTGGACAGCTCTTGGAATCTATTTTGATAAGCTTCCCAGGAGATTCTGATGATTGAAACCACGCCTTCTAAAAATTATTGATTTTTTTTAAGTTGTAGAAAATCATAGATACAAAAAAGCAGAAAATAGTATAATGGACTTTATTATATTACTATTTTGCTAAATTTGTTTCATCTATTATACCCTTGATTTATTTATTTATTTATTTTCTGGACTATTTGAAAACAAATATCAATTACTGTATCTTCACAACCACAAATAATTCAGTATGCATCTCTAATTGAAAACAATGTGTTCTTTTTTGCATGACCAACTCATTTCACCTAGCTAGACTATTTTACCTTTCATATGGTTCACATCCCAAGTAGATACAGTCATGCCTCATTTAAACATAGGGATACATTCTACCAAATGTGTTATTAGTTGATTTAGTCATACAAACATCATAGACAGTAATTGCACAAACTGACAGGGCGACAAAACTGGGTGATATAATCTTAGGGGACAACCATCATATATGTGGTCCATCATTGAAATATTGTCGCACTATGTGACTCCATTCTAGTTTCTCAGATTGTCCATTGCACAACATAAAGTTCTATTTCTTTTGGGGAGGGGGTACCAGGGATTGAACTCAGGGGCATTTGACCACTGAGCCACATCCCCAGCCCTATTTCGTATTTTATTTAAACACAGGATCTCACTGAGTTGTTTAGCACCTGATGGTTGATGAGGCTGGCTTTGAGCTCGCAATCCTGCCTCAGCCTCCCGAGCAGCTGGGATTACAGCTGTGCACCACTATATCTGGAAAGTCCTATTTTGCTTTTGACCATTAACTTTAATAGGACTTTTATTCTTTAATATTCCTTTTTAATTTGTGATGAGATCAACTTGTTAATGATTGAGTCCTTCATTCTGTAGCATCTCTCACATTCTGGATCTGTTTCATTATTTACCTCTGGTGTCATTTAACTTATTTTTCTGTACTTCCTATTAGATCTGGTTCAATTTTGGTGCTGGGTGTGCTGTTGAATTCCATCTTGTCTGAGCCATATGAATGCTTGCCCAGAAGATCATGAAGTCTTGGAATGGACCTTCTCCTTTTTTCTCTATTCTTCCTCTTATCTCCCACCCAACATGAAAAAGTACAACTCTTCAATCAGCATGATGAACATAAGCATTTGATTTTAAGTCATCAGGAATTTTAAAACAGGAAATGACTGATAATTAGCAGATTGTTTCTGACTCAGAGGAATGGCACATAGTCAAGGGAACCGAACAGGTTTGGAGTGTACTGAGGGAGCCAGGTAGAGCAGGGATCCAATCTGGAGTGGGTGTCAGGGCTACGGAACCTCTGGGAGAGAGGGGACCCAGAAAGCAGGTGTGTGATTTCATGTTGTAGTGCATACATTCATTTTTTTTTTCCCAAACTGAGGCCCATGGCTTTTATTCAGAGTCTTTAAGAAATTGATGACTTTCCAAAAAGCAAATAAGGAACTAGAATTTTGAAAAGTAAAGCTTGGAAGAAACTCAGCTTGGGGGAGGGGTGCTAATAGTTGCTCCATCCATTCATTCAGAGATGATGTAGGTGTCACCCACAAGCTCTCTTATTTCCACACTTAAACTTGGAAACCAAATTTTCACAATAAAATAAGCTTACAATTTGAATGTGTTTATCACAAAATAATAAATGATATTCAAGACAAATTATAAAGCATTTTTACCAATTTTATTGTTTCCTTTGGAGATCAGAAGGTTTTACCATTAATAAAAATAGGTATTTAAAAATATTACCCACTTTGTTTTATTCCATTGTTTAAAATTCTTCGGTTTTGTAATTTTTAACATTTTACATAATAGTACATTAGAAATTGACTTAATATTTAATATACACATTGTGGATGAATGCTTGAAAATGATTTTACAGATGGTGTGAGATCAAAAGCATTAGGAGTTCAACTTCCAACATGTTATCTAGGCTCTTGACAATCTAAGGTACCCAGCGACCTCACATGCTTGGTTCATTCTTGTCTTCTGCAATTATATGTATAAAATACATATCATGCCTTCCTATTTCCCTCTAAAATGGGATGCCTTTCTGGTCTCTTAAAATTATTTAGGACCTCAAAGACTTTTGTTCAAGCACCTTATATCTTATTATATCTGATTATATTTACCATTTTAGAAATTAAAACTAGGAAATGACAAAGCACAGATTGATTGCACCAGCAAACACTCAATAGCACCCAGCACAATGACACGTTATAGAGCCTCTGGAAAACACTGCATGCTCTGGACGCCCTTCCTGCCCTCCACTCTCTCTCTCTCCTCTTCCTTTACCAGATTCTGGTGGCATTCCTGCCTTCTGTTCTGTGTCACAGAAAGAACTTGGTATTTTATAAAAGAATGATTTAGATTCAAATCCCAGCCCCAATACCTATTAGTCATTAAGTCTTGAACAAACTGTCTTGTGTCTCCACATCTCTTCATCTGTAAAATGCTCAGGAAATGTTTTTTGAATATATATCAAGGACATAACAGTATTATTCAAGAAATGTGCTTTGTATTTTGTGTTTATATGACTTTTTTAAAAATAAAGATGCTGAAACACATAGTAATTCTTTTTTCAATCTGTTCTAATTAGTTACGTGTAACAGTAGAGTGCATTTTGACACGTCATACATAAATGGATCTCATTCTTCTGTTTGTACATAATGTGGGATTATACCAGTCCTGTAATCATGTGTGCACAGGAAATTTTCCTCCTCAACCTACAAAAAAATGCTCTTTATGTCAATTATCTAGCTAATGTTTCTCAAACCTGGGTTCATATTAGAATCACTCAGAGAGCTTTTAAATGATTCCCAGTTTGGTCTGAGATGGCTGTCTTAAATATAAGATTTTTTTTTTAAGTTCTGGTAAATCTAATATGCAGTAGGGATTTTAAATCACTGGTATCCAAAAGAGTGAAATTCTCACAGAAGCAATCAAGGTGAAGGGTACCCAGCTGCCGCAGTCTGGCTGGGCACACATGCTGCAGTCTGGCTGGGCACAAAATCACGAGCCACCACACAGCTTGTAGATTCAAACAGCAACTCTTTATTCCCGAACTCACACCAGCCGTCTACAATCACGTTCTGGGGAAATCCACGTTCTCTGCCCAAATCCACATTCTCTGCCCAAATCCACCTCCACTGGGCTTCTATCTCTCAAAAAAT